TACTCACTTATTTTAAATAAATTCAACGTTTAATGAAAACCTTTTCTTATCCAAAGCCCAAGTAGAATTTTACATTGCCAAATTTTAACACATATTCATCTGACTTTCTACTTTTTCCTGTAAGTGAAAACAAAGATATTTGTATATTTGATACAGGTGTCCTTTTTTCAGGCTTATCTATAAAATGAGATTTATAAACTTAGTTGATCAAAAGAAACCACCATCGGGAGTGGAGGAGAGTGTCAAATCCCAAGGAAACTACCAAAAAAATTTAAAATTTTCTAGGATGAGTAAATGAGGTCATTAAGTCATTGGAGAATGACTGAACAAGCCATCACTGAATTCCATTCTATTTTCAAAGATGCTTCAACCTTGTCTGGGCATTCCACGGGAGGCCTCACCCCAGTGACAGAAACTCCCACTGCAAGAGGCGGCATGGGCTCTGCAGCATTTCTCAGAGGCTTCTTCTGAGTTGTGAGCTACTCCAATTCACGCTGGTAGTGCAAGTATAGAATTGGGTCAGAAGAGTACATGAATAGTAAGATATTCTATGAAATCTTAAAACTCCATGAGATTTCGCATTCTATTTAAAATGCATTTAATAATAATTTCACCACTTAATTTTATCCTCCTACATTTTAAAGCAAAAATTTAACTCTAGAAAGATGCCTTGTGAAGCTATTCAGTCTCCCATTCCCTTCCAATTCCCTTACAGGAAACTTGTAACTGAACTTGAGAAGCACTGGGACGTTAAGATAGAGTGTGTGTTGGTTGGCCAATTACTGGCCTGGTTATATTAAATAAACTTTGGTTTCCTCATGCTTTAACTGGCCACAGTAATAGCTCTACTTTTCATAGATCAATGTGGAGATGAACTGAAGAACTGCTTCTAAACATCTAGTCGAGTATTTGACACATAATAGTTCTCACTGCCTTTCCCTTTCAGTAAATTAGTCAAACAGTATTAATCCATCTGTAACTGTTAATATTTTACAGCCTACATATTACAATCCTGTGCTACAAGGTAGAAACAACATCTAGAGCATTCCCTTGATCTGTGAGTTTTTAAAGAACAGAACTACAATGATTCTTGATTCAACACATGAATAGTCTCTGATGTTTTTGACTCTGGACGTGGAGATTCTAGATGGTACCAAAGATTACTGTTTCCAGTTATGAGTTAAAATGAGATGATTAAAAAAAAAAAACAGATTGAGCTGTAAGTATATGATCTGAGTCATAAAAGAGTTCATTTAAACCATATTAAATACTGAGTTCTAAGATTTGAATACTGGGAATTGTGCGACCACTAATTAATAGGCGATAAAGTTGGAAACTCTCAGTGAGATGAAGCACTTGTAACTCTTCTGAGGTAGGTCAAATATACAGTCAAAATCACATGTGGTGTGTGTGTGTGTGTGTGTGTGTGTGTGTGTGTGTGTGTGCGCGCATGCTGATACCACGCTTTGTGGCAAAGAAAACCAGAAACTGGACTAAGTTTCTTAGGCCACCTGAGAACATATGGATAAAGTTAAGCCATTCCATTCTAGGCTGGTTGTCAGTTGCTGTACTGAGATTAGTGGGAAAATATCAGTGAAGTTATATCCAGTCTACAGGGAAGTCTATAACCCATAAACACAATCATTCTCACTTATTTTCAGGTGTTAAAAACATTTGGAAATGCCACGGTAATATTGTATATGTGATTATCAACTTTCAAGTCATTCACTTTGGGAAAAAAAATAGTTAAGAAGTGAAAACTATGAACTTTTCCTTGTATCTATTTATTAGTTTTATCTGAGAAGAAAAGAATGTTTTATAGATTAAATATTCTTCATTTTTAATAGCATTTGTTATAATTTCTCAAAATTTTCCTTCCTTCATTTGGCTTAGTTATTTATTTGATTAAGAGCTTCATTAATGACAGAGCACATTGACTGAAGGCTCACGTATGTAAGATATAGTCTTTCTAGGAAATACTCATATTCTGCGTATACACTGCAAGCTGAGTGTGGAAAGCATACCACATATATCTTATTTCATCCTTATAAAATCATCATGAACTAAAAATGGAGAATTTTAAAATTTTACTTTTAAACTCTTCTCTCTATTTTACAAATAATAAAAATAAAAGTTTAAAATGTCATTAGAAAAGAACTGACAGGACTCAATTCTAAGTCATCAGATTCTTAGTTGAAATATTTTACTAGCGATATTTTTCAAGTATTTCTCTGTCCTTGTTTGAGATTTTATTATTAAATAATGTCAAAGGGAAATGAGTACTTTTATTTCTAAAAAACAAACTTTTATTATTTTTTTTAATACTAAGCTTCTCATTTTAAGATAGTTTTGCTGATAACTAAAAACTATATTTCTAGTGAAATCATCCCCTACACTATTGAATAGCTGGAGAAATTTAAAATTTGTGTAGAAGATACTGAGTTATAAACTTTTGATCATTTTCATGCCAACAAATGTTCTGGCAACAGAGAGAAAATCCAACCAATTTTAAAGTATCATCCCTGCCATCAGGCAAACTGCCCTCTAAAATTCTGCTTTGGTTAGGTTTCTCCTGGACTATTACATAGTTAATAGCCCTGTCTGTTAATTACTACCAGGATTAATTTCACATTGCTTCTTTTACCTAGAATTTAACTGAAGTAAAAACTGTTGTGAGAATAAGAATTGAGAGCGTTTAAAATTTCTTATCATTGAGACTTTTTAGTCACTAAAATTTAGTAAATTTTAGGCAAAATGACTCTCTAACCATCATAAGTCAATCTCGTGCTAATATCGAGGACCTTTTCTTTGTGTTCTACTGCCCAAAACATCAAATCACCTATTCTACATCAGGCAGTGGAGGACCTCGGGGGAGAGTGAAACCACACCATGAGCTGGTCTTCACCTTCACCTGGGCCCTGTACAGCATGAGCTGAACTTCCCACGGCTCCCTGCAGGGAAGTCGTTTCCATTCTCCAAAGCAAATATCTTAGATTCTTAAGACTTTCCTAGAGCCACGTTCACTCAGTCATCTAAACTCAGTCTCTCTCCTAGAAAAATATAAGCGATGAAGCAGTGGTTCCTCTACTCCTCTGAGATGCTACTGCTTTTAGACCCATATTTTATGACTTTCTCTGGCATGTGGGAGAAAGCGCTGTTCCTTCCTCAGCAGGGGACACACCCTCCCCTGTATCTCTGATTCAAACCCCTCTTCCTTCCTCATCAAATTCGTATCTTCAACCCCGTCCCCACAACAACTCCCTTTCTTATAGTTTTTTTTTTTTAAATTAGTCTTTCTATCTCAACTATTCTGGAGTCTCCCCACTCCCTACCCTAGAAATGAGGCTGTTTTACTTTTGTTCTGTATAGCCAAGATTGAGAAAAAGAAGTCCTCACAGACCTCACTTCCACACAACCGACTGCATTCCGTGTCCTCCCCACACTAACATACGTGTCCTTGCGTCTGTCCTCTTTTCCATTGATATTGATCAATCCTAATAATATGCTATCCTTTTGTTTTAATGATTGATTTCTTTTAATTTCCCTACTCTTTTTCTGAATGTTCAATTCTTTCTTCACTCCTAAAATTTCAGCATCTCTTTTTGGGTGAGTCCATTCACTCATATAGTTGTTTTGCATGTTATTTTCTAAACTTTTCTCAATTTCAAGTTCTTATAGCCAATTATTTCATTGAACTTTAACAAGAAGTTGAAAGTCAATAAGACTGATATAAGTCCTAAGATTTTCTCTGTTAAAAAACCTACTCTTCCTCTTGAGAACGTATTCTGAATGAGCCCACTATCCACGCTTTTCCCCAGAGAGAAACTTGAAAAACATCATTAATACATCTATTTTCTCTTCTCCCATATCCAGTCGGTCCCCTCATGCTGCCAGTTAGGCCTGTTCATATCTTTTGCTTTTCTCCACCTCTCCTCTGCTGGTCTCTCACTGGATCATCTAGCACCTTAGGTGCCGCATCTCTTTTCAGGTAATCTTTCACTGGGCTACCAGGATGTTCTTTCTGAGGCAACAATCTGACGGTGCCATTTTTTTTGTTTCAAGACTGTTAATTGACATGGCATAGTTGAAACTCTTCTGCAAGATAATACAGAACTCTGGCTACTTCCCCAGCCTCATCAATCTGTGCTCCTCTCACCTTAGGCTTCAGTTTTGCTGAGCTCCCCAAGCTCCTCATATATGTCATGTGTACTCACTCTTGTGTACCTTTGCACTTGTTGCTAATTATTCCAGGAACACCCTTAAGAACGTGCCTGGCAAATTCTTCTTCCAAGTCCACTCTTGGAACCAGAGCCTCTTCCTTGTCTACAGCCTTTCCTCATCATCCACTTCTGGGTTTACTCCCCTTCTAACCGTCTTATAAACACCTCACATTCATCTCTCTTGTTCTACTTCCATATTGCCCTGCAGCTTCTCATGTCTCTGCCTGGATACATTATTTTTGTTTTTGCTGTTGAGATTCCAGGGATGAGCCTTTTATCTTTATATCCTCAGCTGCTACTATCGTGTATTGGGTAGGTGATTCTAGTGTGTTTGTTGAATGAAAAGAATAAATCAATGAATTAATCAACAATCTCATAATTAGAAGATTTCGACAAGAAGGAATAATAAATTACTTTAAATTAAAAATCTTCAATACAAATATTAATTACAAAGCACATGCTAGGACCCACCAAATTTATATAGGAAATACGTAAAACACT